TGATAAGGTCCCGTCGGATTCATAAGCAATCTATCGCTTATATTTTTTCCTGCCATCAAATTCCATCTCTTTATATCTTTGCCCCGCCATCTATTCACCGGGATTATCGACAGAATCCAGATTATATTCTGTTTTATCCACTTGGAGTATAGACCTGTTAATTTTTACATTAGGCAACCATGGTGTTGGCCAAGTCGAAGAACTCCGTGGGGTTGGGGAACAGTTTGATGAATGATAGATTCGGCAAAGGAAAGCGTTCAGACCGAAAGAAAGTATCTCACAATGTTGCAGCTATTCAGCGGAAGGGCACCGATGGCGAGACCTACATCACAAACCCGACTGAAGAGGCATCATGGGTCAAAATGCGCAGTATTACCGAGCAGGCGGCTCTCGACGAGTTTCTAAGCACAGCCGAACTCGCGGGAACCGACTTCACAGCTGAGAAGTTGAATAACGTCAAGATTATACACCAGGACCAGAAGAACCCTTACCTCCTTTCCGCTGCGGATGAGAGAAACGCCATCCGGAAACACCAGAAGAACCGCTCCCGCTTGACTGTTCCTCGACGTCCCAAGTGGAATGAACGAACAACTCGCAACGAACTAGATGCGATGGAACGAGAGAGCTTCCTTGATTGGAGAAGAGGGCTTGCCGAACTCCAGGAGGTGCAGGATATATTGATGACGCCTTTCGAGCGAAATTTGGAAGTTTGGAGACAGCTTTGGAGAGTTATCGAACGGTCAGACCTTGTCGTACAGATTGTGGACGCCAGAAACCCGCTTCTCTTCCGGTCCGAGGATTTGGAAAAATATGTCAAAGAAGTGAACCCGGCAAAGAGGAATTTGCTGTTAGTGAATAAGGCGGATATGATGACGTTAAAACAACGGGAGGCCTGGGCAGATTATTTCGAGGAACACAACATATCTTACAAGTTCTTCTCTGCTGCCCTAGCTAAGGAGCTGAATGAAGCGAACGGGGAAGGAAGCGGAAGCGATGATGATGACGATGATGTTGATACAGCACTTGCTGAGCAAGCAAGCAACGCCCATATTCATGATTCAGAGGATGACTCGGAAGCGGCCGAAGAGGCTGTTGAAGAGGAGAACGAGGAGGAAGAAGACGATGATGGTGGCGGTTTACCACTTCCACAAGAATCCGAGTCAAAAAGAACTGAAATAATCACGGTAGATGAACTGGAGGCACTCTTTATGTCTGCGGCCCCTCCGCGCGACCCTAATGATGAGAAAGGCAAAGACGTCACTACTATTGGTCTTGTTGGGTATCCTAATGTTGGTAAATCCAGCACTATTAATGCCCTTCTCGGATCAAAGAAGGTCTCCGTCTCTGCAACTCCTGGAAAAACAAAACACTTCCAGACTCTCTACCTAACACCAAAGATTGTCCTTTGCGATTGTCCCGGTCTTGTTTTCCCTAATTTTGCAACAACAAAAGCGGATCTTGTCGTCAATGGCGTCCTCCCGATTGATCAGCTACGTGAATATACCGGTCCAGCAGGGCTCGTCGCCCAAAGAATCCCGCTCCACTTCCTTGAGGCAGTTTATGGAATGAAGATACCCATCCGCAGCATCGAAGAGGGAGGTACAGGAGTCCCTACTGCATCTGAAATCCTTCGCGCATATGCCCGTGCCCGTGGGTTTGCTACAACTGGTCTAGGACAGCCAGACGAATCCCGTGCGGCAAGATACGTGTTGAAGGATTATGTCAATGGAAAGTTGCTATTCTGTCATCCACCACCCAAGGATCCTCCATTCACAGATCCAAAGGAGCGCTCGGACTATGAATTAGAATTTAACGAGGGATTATACGATATGGCTCATCTCCCTGCTCGGCGGAAGGAGGCTTTGCTCAAGGAACACGCAGCCGCAATTCGCGGCGATTCGTTAGATGGGATAAGTGATGATATTGATTTGGATTCCGACATGACCCCGTCCCATGTTTCTGGAAACAGCTCTATACCTGCCCAGAGCGCACGGTCGAAGAAGCTTGACAAGGGATTCTTCGGTCCTGGCGGCGCTGGGTCGGCGGGTCATCTAACGATGCCATTCAACTATAAGTATTCGGAAGTGGGAAAGCAGAAAGCAGTTACTGGCCGCAAGCAAAGGGCTCTTATTGCATTGGAGAAAAATATAGATGTTTCAGAGGTCCGAGGCCCAGGGAAGAAGCATTTCAAGGCGAATAGAAAGGTCAAAACAAAGAAAAAAGGAAACAGTTTCCTGGCGGAAGAAGAGTGATTTTGTTACGAGTGTATGTTCTCATGCCACGGTCCCATGCATTTAGAAAGGTATCATGTCATTTTTCAGGTCTATGAACTCGTAAAAAGTGAAAAGCACTTTCATATCTTCATCGTAATAGGTATTTATGTGCAGTGAGTGTGTTATAAATAAAACCGTCCCCTTTTCAGGGAAGAAAGCTTATCGCTTATCGCTTATCTCATGTGACCTTATCTTTAAAAATATTTTGTCTGTGGCCCGCCATTTCTCAAAAATGACGAACATCGACCTCCCTCCCTTGTAACCATTCATAGAAAGGACCATTTTTCCCATAAGAAAACGTTACAATGCCTCCAACTAAACAGTGGATGTATGTCATTTCGGATAAACTGATGTGACATTTCTTTGGGAGAATTCTAAGTGCTAACCGCTATATTCCCTTAGTGACAAAAAATCCGCAACCAAATATCAACTCTTCCACAGATCGCAAAATGACCCCCTGATACATGACCCAGAGGCAGAAGACCGGATTTTGCATGTAGTAGGACGTCCTGGGCCAGCTTCTAGTATCAAGTCGTCGTCAAAGAGAGAAACACGGACTTTGAGGGAGCTTGACGAGGAATTCAAATCGGCGACTCGCAAAAATGAAGGAGAGGCGGCAAACTATGGCATCTTCTATGATGATACCAAGTATGATTACATGCAACATTTGCGTGGACTAGGGGAGGGAGTTGGAGACGCCCACTTCGTGGAGGCGAGGACAAAGGGTAAAGAAAAGAAGGGCATGAAACTCGAGGATGCGCTGAAAGAAATCTCGCTAGATGGGGATGGAGCAGAGAGCTTTACCTATGGCGATGCTAATGATGATATCTTGTCAACTGCTTCATCATATATACGCAAGGCCACTTACCAGGACCAACAGGATGTGCCGGATGCGATTGCGGGTTTCCAGCCAGATATGGATCCGCGATTAAGAGAGGCCTTAGAGGCACTGGAGGATGATGCCTACGTTGACGAAGAGTGCGATGAGGATATATTTGATAACCTTGTTGCTGGTGGGCATGACGCAGAGGTGGACCCTGACGAGTGGAGAGATACATACATTGAAGACCATGACGAGGGCTGGGAGTCTGATGCGACAGAAAAGGCACCAGTTCAACACGATACCTCTACCGATAGCCAACTTCCCACAGCATCAGACGACAAGGGAAACTCTGTTACATCGTCTCAGCCGCCCAATGATGACCAGATACCTGATGTGGAGGAACATGAAGGAGACTGGCTCAAAGATTTTGCAAAATATAAGAAAGACATGAAAGCAAATAAAGTCGCAGCCAAAGTTGACGATAGCGCATCAGAGCTCCGTACTACGGCATCAACACTATTTACTCTCGGGGGGACCCCGGTCAGGAAAAAGAAGCGCAAGGGTGCAAAAACAAACCCTTCTGCCTACTCAATGACATCCTCTTCGCTTGCTAGGACCGAAGGTCACAGACTTTTGGATGACCGTTTCGAGAGAATGGAAGCCCTATATGCTTTGGATGAAGGGGAGGAATATGAAGGCTCCAGCATGGCGGATGATATGTCCGTTGCAAGTGGCGTATCACGCTTTTCTAGATTCTCCAAACTCTCGCAAGCCCCGAGCCTTGTTGCCAATGATAGAAATACCACTCTTCGGTCTGATTTTAACGACGTCATGGATGGGTTCTTAGATAAATGGGATGATCGACGGGTCCATGCTAAGCGCAAGGGAGCCCAGGGCCGAAGAGGAAAGAATGGGAATGAAGTTATTGGAATGAGGATGTTGGATGAAGTCAGGCAAGGTCTCGGGCCTCCCAAGCTTTCCACAAATGCCTTTGGGAAAGTCTGATGCAGATACCCATTTGAAGCTATTTACGATTGTGGGTTTTCTCATACTGGAGTTCAGCGTTGGTTTTGAATCAAAAAGTACCTGGCCTAGTTTAACTTAAGGGGAATAGAGGATAATATGTGCGATATTTGAGTGCTAGTATCTACACTTAAATAACGACGAATTCTGACACTCACTAAGTAGTTTATCGATATATGCTTCTATTATATTACATGTTGTACAGATTGTGGGTATATTTTTCACAGAGCTCCGCCAACTCGCTCTACGATCCACATAGCAAGACGAACATTCCAACTGACTCGTCGCTCAACTTTCCTTAGATCTTCTCTTGAGATGGGTTTAGAATCCGCTTGCAGCCACTCCGTTTCCTGGCCTAATCTCTCTTTCAAACTGTTGTCTGTAGTCACTATGACAGCGCCCACCTCTAAATCAAGCCCGTAGCTTCGTTTGGTATAATTGCTGCTTCCAACAAACGTGAGACTTGGATACTTCTCATTCGGGAGTGTCACCCATAATCCCTTGGCATGATATGTCCATCCACCAGGCTCATTCACAGTTCCCTTACGCCATTCCTTCAATTCAATAGAATTAGTTCTTTGTGATTCCGCAACCCGATCTAGGAACCTAGCAGACAAGTGGGTATATGCTGCTGGTAACATTCCAGAGACGCCTGGGGAACCATAAAATCCATTCGCCCACGGGGATGCCGTGAGAACTGTTCCTTGGCTGCTTGGAGAATCAGGCGATGGAGTAGTGCTTGAAATCAGAAGTGATGAGAGAACCGGGTGCATGTTGAAGTAGCCCGCAGTGAAAAGCCAGCGGGAATTCTTCAACATCGGGCTGCTAGCTAAGGTACTTAGGATGCTTGTAACAGCCGGAAACTCCGTTGACTGATCTGGTTTTAGTATTGGCGTAAACTGAGCCACAGGGTATACATATGTCTGGTTGTCAGCCATGGATGTTAAAACTCCCTGGGCTGTTGGTGGTTGTATTAGTTTCGAAAGCGATATAGACGCCGCGGATATGAAATCTTCGGGATCATCTAAAGGCGATGGCCCCGCATTTGTAACTGGCCAGTTCATAACATAGCCTTGTTTGCTCTTTGGATCTGGCAGAACCTGAAAACTGAACCTGCAAATAGCATGGTGGATCTGGGAATAGTATTCAGCTAGTTCTTTTGACTGGAAAACGTGATATCGATCGAGCCGGTTTGTAAAATAGTCATTGGAAAGGTTAGCCCTGTTAAAGAAAAATGGATCAGTAAAATGCACCCGTATAAAGATAAATGTAAAGCGCAATACCCAGAGAGAATTATTTCGTCGTCTACTCCGTAAAGTTTCATGTGTTGAAGCCCCCATCCTTCGTTTATTCTCTTTGGTACGTATTTCTTTTTCATTCCAACGAGATTAGGAGTATGAAACATTCTTATTTCTACCCTTTCTGGTCCATGTTCCTCCACCAAGGAAGCTAATAGAGAAGCACAAGACGGGTTTGGGGATTCACGAGATCCACGCAGTGCATCCGTAAGAATGGAGATCTTTAAGTCTGGATTCCGGCGAAGGCTCTCATTAATGACCGAAAGAAGCTCATGTTCTGTCTTCCCAATATACAAGGTTGAGAGGTATACCCTTCGTTTCGCGTTACGTATTTTATCCTGATAGTCGTTAGCCAGCCATCCTTGAGAGTATGTAAATTGACCCGTACCTTCAAAGTATCATAGAACGCAGCAGGAGAGTTCAAAATCTGAATATTGGACGCTTGTATTTCGAATTTGGGCGCAATTCGGTCTAATTCCACTGTGAGACTGCCCAATGGTGAAGAGGCGCCGTTATAGCCCGCAGCTGGACTCGAAGTAGATGAGAACTTGCGGACGGGGGAGATATAGTTGGCGGTACGTGTGGAGTAGCCCCGGCAGCAATTGAGGAGGGCGCGGCCTCCCGTACGTTTCATCATCGTCTCTCGGCTCTAAATTTCATTTCAGAAACAATATGGTAAAGGCCCAAGTGTCGAATGCTACCAGTCAGATCTCTTATTGTCATGTTATTAGGTATTTTTTTTTATCTTATCGGATCAGCTGAATCGGCGCTAAACCACTTTCGGAACCTCGCGGCAATCCGAACAAACCAAGCGGAAAGCCGTGAACAACTTCGACCTCCCACGACAGAAGACCAACTTTAGGGTAACAACACCGTCCGCTGTCACCATGTCGACCATCACCAGGACATTGCGGAACTTGTGGAAGATCGGGATCAAGGTAGACCTTACCTGAAAGCAATACTCTGTTCGTGGCTAATCCGTTTCTGCAGGACTATGGTCACCAGATGCACGTAAGTTAATCACCGGCGGCGGCAATTACAAACGAATATATGCTGCGGAGATGCAGATGCTAAGTTACATCTGCTTCATGCTATAGTATATTGGTACGTTCATGGACCTAGGAAGTTTTGAGACCAATTGCTAACGGAGTCGAATGCAGGTGATACCAAAGCCGGTACCCTCGTAGCCATCGACCGATACGGAAACAAATATTTTGAGAACAACGAAGAATTGCCTCGTACGTCATATATAACTCTAGAATTAAAAAAAAAAAAAAAAAAATAGTGATGTTGACATGCGATGAAGTCCGAACTCGTTGGGTTGATTATAAAGACCATGACCATGATGCTTCGCATATCGACCCCGGCTGGTAAGCTCGCTGCCCCTATGTATTCGCGTGGAAGCCTCTGACTTTACTACATAGGCATGCTTGGATCTCCTATATGGTTGACAAGCCACCCACTCAGGATGCCATCATGCAAGCTGGGGTACGAAAATGGGAAACCCCCGAGCACAGACCCAACATGACCCTTACTCGGGCCGCATACAAGCCATACTCGACGTTAGTTCCCCCCTCGACGTCCTTGACTGCTCATAGAACATTAAGACTAATATTTTCGAATATACAGTGTAAAACCGAAATACTCCGCCTGGGAACCAGTTGCTGTTCCCCGGTAATGGAGAGAGCACGTCGGACTTCCTTGGCAGTAGGATCCCTATCTGTTTTCTATAAAATGCCGGTTAGACTTGCTGCTAAGGCCTTGTTTGCGCAAATATGTATATAAGATGAACCACCGGATAACCTGATTTTGTTCAAGACCATCTTTACGCTTCATTCGGATAGGGAGAGTATGCAAGGTTTTCTTTATTGGCAAGGAGCATAGATTATAATTTATATTTTTTGTAACCAAAACGCAGCGACATAGGGCTCATGCGTAGAAAATTGAGAATAATTTTAAAGAACATAGCCACCGGAACCGACATTCCACCAATGCCGAACCGGCCGGCCGTTCTCAAGGTCGATACACCACCATAACACTTCCTTTGCCTTTTCAATCTGGCCTCCTTGCTCGTACGCTCTGGACAAAGCAAACCATGCTTCTGAGTTGTCCCAAGCAGTGCCGAGTTTAGTAAGTGTAGAAAGTAGCCCATAAGCCCTATCTCTCGCAGCAAGACGGTTAAGAGACTCAGGCGTGTCGTCAGGTGATGTAGTTGTAGCTTCGACGTTTGCACTAATTCCGTTTGGAGCATTTGTTTCCTGTTGGCGGGATGGTGAATGGAGAGATATGTTTGAAATATCGGGCAATGGGGGCGGCGAGGACTCTTCTGCGGGCAGTGTCTGGTCATGAATGTCAAGTAGGAGAGTAGCCAGACCAACCGTTGCACGTGGATGGTCTGGATAATGCATAAGTGCTTCCTCGAAATGTTTGATGGCCTCATATGGCTTCGATTGCGCCTGGGTGATGTAACCGCGTTCAGCGTAGATATCGCCCCATATTTCGTCTGGGGACTTTGTGCCACCCCATCCTTCATCAGCAAAGGCCCGAGTAGATGACTCCTGAGCTGCAACAAGTCCTTCAATACGACTGGCATGCGTTGATGCCTCGTTGCAAGCTTCCATAGCGTCTTCAAGCAGTAAGGCCTTGCGGTAAAGGTCGGAGATGAACAGCCATATCTTAACAAGCAAGCTGAGGGAATGCTTTTGCTCCTGGATTCTTGGGAACCTGGTTAATGCTTTATTCAGGGGGCCGGATTGGCGAGCTGTAGGCATCCTAACGTCCTGTATTGGCGGCTGGTGTGGATGACCGGCAGGAGCGGGTTCTTCCGTGTGTTTCATATTATGGTATATAGGCGGTAGGGCTTGCCTTGCAGAGTCGCTCTGTTCATTTGAAGCCAGCTTCTTTTCAGGGGCTGTATTGGTTAGGCTTCCTTCCAAGCGATGAAGCTTCTGGGTGAATTTATTTTCTTTTCTTAGAAGAGAACCCTGACGAGACCGACCGCGATGCTGTGGACTGGACCCTTGTTCATCATTATTTGTAACTTGGATAGCAGGTGCGGGTGCAATAGTGGCAGCTTCTTTGTCAGTCATTCCTGACGCTGCTCCAGGTGCTATACCGGTATCACCGTCGAGCAGACCCGCTTGGTCTACCGGAGGCCGCTGGGTCTTTTTCCAGCCAAAGATGCTAGCTCGGCCAGTTCTAACAGTCCCAGACGCGCTTTTGGGAGGAGTTAGACGGTTTGAGCTGACTTTACCCTCGATATCAACTAGCCCAACACCAGCAAAAAGCCGGCCAAATAGACTTATTAGTTCGTCGCTATAATTCAGAGCAGCCTCGGGGCCACGAATGACATCCATGAGTGCAAGTTGGGTCATGCGTAGCTCAACCATGCTCTCCCGCTCGCGTGTTTCTATATCCGGAAACCTCGAATGTTGTCCATCGCCTGCGAAACCGCCGGAGGCCTCCTCCTTTCCAGTTGAGTCTCGAAGGGGTCGGACAGAACTTTGCTTATGGAGCAGTTTTTCTGTCGATACCATTTCAAATACAACATCACAGGCATTAACTGCTGTTTTAAAATCCTCCTTTGAGCTAAGTAAGAGTGCAAGTAAGTGCCATAGTGGAACAATATCTCTCTCCCCGTAGTTTATGATGGAGCGAGAGTCCGCCTGCTCTGCGTCATCTTCGACATTGGACGAGCTAAGTGACGTACGAACAAGTTCAATGGCACCGTCAAGATCTCTTGTTTCTGCACGTAACATAGCGAGAGCAAATACAGTAGCAGGATTGGGTTCCTGTTCAGCCTCGGCTGCCAGAGCCTTTTCCAAGGCACAAATGGCATTGGCTTGAAGCTCGGCTCTGGACTCGCTGATAGGAGTCCATCTTGCCCATGTAGCGAGGCCAATACCAATAGCCCTATAAGCAAACGAGACCCATTGAGTAGGAATGCCGGTGCCACCGGGTTGGGCGCTAGATTGAACTGGAGCATGACCATTTGTTTGTATTCGTTCACTCAGTGCTTCATCTAACAGGTCAGTAAACTGTTTAACTTTCTCTGCGTCTCTTCGCGACCCAAAGCAGCATAACATAATCAATCCCTCGGCTAGGGTATGGATGAAAACTGCCGGATCTTCGACCTCCCTGATGTGGCTGGAGTGTTGCGATCTCTCCTTCGCGTCTTTCACAAGATGAATATACGTATCCAGGGCATGAATAGCTAGGTCAAACTCGGCCAGGGCTGCATGTACATGAAAAAGTTCTCTGAGGATTAACGTGGAGTGAAACGTCTTGGTTGCAGCGCGATATAGTATCTACAATATCGTCAATTATTGTTTTCTTCGTATATTCCATGCAAAGAGAAGGACTTACATCCAAAACATTGCGGGAGATGGCACCTTGCCCTCCCTCTCCAAAATCATCATCGCACCATTCAGCACTACAGAATACTTCCCAGTTGTGGATAACTTGCTTGACCCATAGCTCAACCTCTTGGTTAGAAACATTAGCCTTCGGGAACTTGGAGTGCCTGAGGAGAACGTTTTCGCAAGTTGCCTCTATCCTTCGAAACTCTGTTGAGAGCTGAACACGTTTTGGTGCATTCGACATGGGTGGGTATTGGAGGTCATTTTGTAAAACAATAGAAAGGATGTCATAGTATGCTCGCCACAATGAGGTCTTTGAACTTGAATTTGTTAGCGTGATATCTGCAACCACCGCAGGGTCACTGCCTTTTATATCAGGATGGGACGCCCAAATACGAAGAGATCGTAGCCCGAATTCTAAGTTTGCCTCGTCGTAATTTGGCGCTTTGGATATAAACAACTCGTAGGCCAGCATTGAGGCCCTGGCCAGATACTGTTCGGACCAGAACAAAAGCTGAGGATTTGTGGTATCAGAAGATGCAGGGGTGGCCGCCCACGAAAAGGTTGATTTGAAAGTCTGCAATGCGTGTTCTTTCCCTGAAGACAGCTCCTCTGCAGCGCCTATACATTACAATTAGTAGTGTGAAAGAGGCCTGTCGCTATCCATGTCGGAATATTCACCTTTCAAATAGCCTCCTTGTACAATGCACACTTGTGTCCATGGAGACAATGACTGCTCACCCGTAGTCAAAGATCGTACGGTTCTCTCGAATTCCTGCGGTAGGCTTGCCGTCGCCTCCTCTGGGTCAGAGAGCTCCCAGAATAGCCATGCTAAGCATATCTGCGCCTGGAAGGTGTCTTCAGGAGTATTCTGCCCATCCGCTTGAACGGACTGGAGGTCCGGTATGCACTCTCGTAGGGAATTGGCAGCCTGCTCGTTGGAAGCACTGCCTAGGGACGTTCGTTTCCTGCAGTATTCTACTATCTGGGCTTCAACCTGAGCAGTTTGGACCAAACCTGTAACATATCACCATATATTAGCATTCCGAATATTATCCCTGTGAGCTCGACGGCATCGAGAGGGGGAGAACACACACTTCCGGCCAGGGGCGTGTTTGACAATCTTCCGGACCAAGCCAGGTATTTCGTGCCAATTTTGATTGCATCGCGCCGTGGTCAGTAAGTTTATATAGCGCTGGGCCTTCTCCGTAAGCTGAATTTGCTATAGAAATCATATGGTCAGTATCCGGAGACAAGGGGGACGAGACCACCTCATCTCATGTGCACTCACGGTCATAGTTTCTCGGAATAAAGGGAGAGCTCTTGGGCCCGCAGCATGGCCGGGCTAAAAGAAACAGTAAACTCTTGCACGACTTCGCAAAGACCGCCGCCCCAAGGCTCCTTTTGCTCGGCCTGCGCTGTGTGGTTCGTCGTGCCTCCTTTACGCAGCGAGCTCGAAATACCTTAGTCAGCATTGAAATATTAGTCATTATCTCCTGTTAGTCAGCAGCGCTTAGTTACAACCTGAGGTTTTCACCGACAGAAAACAACATCCGACTTGCAACGTCAACCTCATCGTCAAGCGACCATTGATTATCAGCCATCAGATATCTTGATTATGCAGGCAGACTTGCATCTGCTAATAGATATAGCTATCATATTTACATTTATCTTTAATTATATTTGGTCAACTGCATGAATGCGAGAGAAACAGGGACTTCTCAGGATAGTTATTGCTTAACTATCCCTGACAGCCTTCGATCTATCTACTGGCGGACTGTCGGCTTCGCGATTAAGATGACTGCCTGGTCACCCACCTCCAGTGGCCTGTTCGCAAAATGTTCCTTCAGGACGGGCTGGAATGCCTCCTTCATTTCACTGTTCCTAGGGTGATCCTTATACCAGAAATCCGTCAGGACGTCCGCCGCTTTGGTGCAACGGACAGAGAGGTCTTCTTCCGGGAAATTGCAGTGTGCATCGACCCGTGCAACAGAAATATTACCGAAGCCATGCGTGGCAAAGACCCTGGCTGCCGTGGCGAGCAGGAAGCCCTGGTGGTCGATGGAAGACTCCTCGGCCAGCATTCCCTGCTGTGCTATAGGGGCGCAAGCCTTATTAATGAGGTTGACTACTTCGTTGTCTGGCGCTCCCTGGACGATTACAATGCGAGCGTTGGGAGCTGTGGCATCTACCACGCGGGTCATTTCAGTGAGTGACTGCTCCAGGTCATCCACATAGTGCAGGATCCAGAGAGCTACGGCGGCGTCGAACTTATTATCCTCGAAGGGCAGCTTTTCAGCTGTTCCCTGCCGGATTTTGACACTTGACTGTGCACTGTTGTTGGTAAGGACCTCGTTTCTGTCCCCATTTGGCTCGATGGCGTAGGCTTTACCTAGCTGTTTGGCTATTGCTACAGGTAATTCTGGAGCAAGCAGATCAGTCTCTATTGATACTACTACATTCTTAGTGAGGTGGAAGTATCTATTGACTCACCGCCATGGCCACTGCCAATATCAAGGACCTCTTTATTTGACTCGACAGCCTTGAGAACAGCGTCAAATTCATGACGTGTAAGTCGCTCCGCAAATGGCTTCCATGCTCCCTCGCTCAGAAGATGTGGACGTCTTCGGAAGGTAGGCAAGGGGTATGGTCCAAACAGCGGTTCCAGTTTCATCTTCCTCGCGGTGATAAACAAATGGTTCTCTTTGTGCTCGAAACCTTTGATCTCGAAGTCACATCGGTCAACAACTTGGATGAAGAGGCCGGCCTGCTGTACAACGTTCAGCCACATGCTCATAGTGAGGAACGTGACAGGGATGACTCGTCCCATGAAGTTGGCGTCGTAGTTCTCAATGTATTGGTGTTTCCGAGCAGTGCTTAAAGCCGCTTTATCCTGGATATAGTCCTCTGCCGCGATTGTTCCCAGAATAAGTGTACCGCCAGGACGGAGCCAGGATGCCATTTTGAATACCATAGAGTATGTCGTTGTATATGACGCTTGGAACAAGTTGAAGAGTGAAACGATAGCGTCAAATTGCTGAGATGGTTCGTATTTTGTCATGTCAGCCTTGTGAAAGGTTCCGGGGAAGCTTTTTTGGCAGAAGTCGACCATCTTTTGCGAGATGTCAATGCCAGTAACTTGGAAGCCGGCTTTGATCAAACGAGATGCAGGCCCTCCAGGGCCGCAACCGATATCGAGGACTGATGAGCCTGCTTCGTGATAATCATTTAACCTGGCAAATGCCGTACGGAGCCCCTCGTTGCCGCCATACGCATCCTCGTATGCCTCAGATATCTGGTCAAACAACGCCTCTGCAGTTATGGTAGGTTTCGTGATAACTGTCATTGTGAATTCGACTCCTAATGGTGGTTTGGGAAAATGATTATAGCCGATCTGGATATTGTATTGCAGTTTCAACTGTGTGGATAGGGGGCTCAGGGGGTTCGGACTGTTTAAAGCAGTTGTAACTCCTACTCCTTGGCTTGACCTCGGATCTCCAACGTCTCCTTAGGCACAGATTTTCACGGCATATTTCGAATCTGCCACATCTGGTACACCGCCCTTTCACGTAGACTCGGGCCGAGATACAGGCTTGTGGTGCAGAACTATCTATATTTTGAGATCTGGCCATTTGACTAGTTGTGTAAACTTTACGAATACCCAGCTATACCCAGATTTGCTTATTTATGGCATCTTTCTTCTTATACTGTGTCAACAAAGGTCTGTCTGAGTATTTGGAAACCTGCCTATCATCCACTACAACTGTGCTGGCGAAAATACACCCTAGCCATGTCGACGTTATACCTGCCAGATGCTGATATGCTTCTTACTATGTCAGATGGCATAGCGGAGCAAGTTCGCAAGTATGCAGATATGCAGCGGGCTTGCAACGGCCGTTCTAGTGACTTTACCTCCCAACAAGGTCAGATGTTACTGAATCAGGCCGAAGCAGTAGCCCGAGAATGCAGAAAGCTCCAGGCGCTCGTCTCAGAGCCTAAAGACTGGATGGTGCAAGCCGCCTGGTCGTACTGTGATAGCGTTGCACTTTCAGCCGCCATCGAGATGGGTATTCCAACGCTAATTAAACCGGGTGGGAAAGGCGTAACCTTGTCTTATCTTGCCACCTGTACCAACGCATCACCTGCTCTGATCAGTGAGGAAATTTATCGTCCCTTCTAGGCGTTCACGAACAATTTACTAACAAGACAACAGAGAGAATCATGAGACTATGCCTTAACAGGTTCATATTTACTGAGTGCAGCGCCGGGTATTATCACCATAACCAGCATTCTCTGCAGTTGCTCGATACCAATTTTGGCAGCCTTGTTCATTACCTGTAAGTCCTCAACCGCTGGGAAGGTTGATCTCCGGCTGTAGCTTTTGAGTCTGACTAGATTTAAGAGTCGACGACGGCTTGCTCTGTGGCGCCTATCTCGCTCGCACCGCTCGCCAGAACGGTTTAAAACATCAGATGACCCTACGGAAGCTGCCTTCGGGGTGGCATTTCAAAGTGAGTGAGGCGATTCATAACTAAGGACCAAAAGAAAAAGCAAAATAAGAAGGCAAATAAAAGGGGGAAAAAAAAGCGAGGGGAAGGGAAGCATAGACGCTAACACGAGCAACTAAATAGCCAAACTGCCCCTTTACGAATACTATCACTCCGTTGATACCGAACGCGGCCGCCGCTTCTCCCGAGCAATGGCCGGCCACTATGATGGGCCGTTGGACATGCCGATTGAGTTGATCTACCCGTTTGACGATCTCCCCGATGGATCGACGATTATTGATATCGGGGGTGGCAATGGCCAGAATGTGATCCGCTTGGTGAAGTCGCATCCTCAGCTCGTTGCCATTGTGCAGGACCACGTCAGCGTCATATCCAATGCTGAAAATATGGTCAAGGAAAGTTATGGGGAGGAAATAGTCGGCCGGATTACGTGGGAGGCGCATGATTACTACGCCCAGCAGCCTCGAAAGGGAGCTGATATCTACTTGTTGAGCCACGTCTTGATGGACAACAATGACGAGTAAGTTGTTCCCCATTTTTAACCGTTTCGGCACTATCTTTGGTGTCAATTCCTGATCCGGTATTTGCTTCTTTTCACAGAAAGTGCGTCAAGATGATCCAAGAAATTGCGAAAGTCATGGACCCAGCTAAGTCGAAGCTATTGATCCACGATTTCGTAGATCTTCCGAGAACCGTTGGGGAGGGTGCTCGTCTGCTTGACATGCTCGATCTACACATGATTGCAAGCCTCAACATATACTCTCGTACTGAGTCAGAGTTTGACAGTATCATTGAGCGTGCTGCTGGCGATTGGGGTTTGGCGAGACACAAGACGTGGCCAGGAAGAGGATCTGCAGTTCTAGAGCTGCGCCTCCGTTCAACGTGTGGATCGACTAGCTAATCCATCTGACAGCCCATTTGATATCGCTGGGTGATATACGGAGTATGACGGCGTCCAATATATCTAACTTCTCGTCTGCCGTTATATCAGGCACTGCTCAGCTGCTGATTGATAAGCAGGCCATAGTTAACTACCTCGGTGCCTTAGGTAGGCAGTAACTAGACCCTTTTTTTTTTTTTTTTTTTTTTTTGGGTAACATCTACGTGATAAACATAGCTTGATAGCTGTTTCTTCCCCGCTATGTCTCTTCTAATACCAACTTCGGCGGCAGGAGTTGTTGTCCTTTTCCTCTCCCTAGTAGCTGCCCACCACCTTTTTACCAAGCTCCACGCGTATATAAAACTGCGCCATATACCCGGTCCGCCGTTGGCCCACTTCTCTGGCTGGCTGCATCGGAGAGCTATCTTACGCTATACACCAGCCCAATGGTATCAACATGTTATTGAAGAATATGGTTAGCATCGTCCTTTTCGCCTCGCCGGGCTGCTGCTGGGCACACGTATCGTCTTCAGGCAGCTCTAGCTAATGGGTTGTCTTGTTCTCCCTCAGGACCACTCGCCAAAATCGCACCCAACCTCATCGTTACATCCTCGCCTGAAGTATGGATGCACGTTACTACCAAGCCAGGCTATACTCGCTCCGACTGGTTCTTCAGAGCCATGCGTGTCGACTACCAGCATGATCATCTTTTCTCACTAACAGATACTGCCGAACATGATCGGAGAAGGAAACTACTAGGCCCTGGGGTAAATAATTCATTCTTATGTTTATCATTTTCCGAAACTTGTAACTATTGAGTCTTCTAAGTAAACTAACTGACTGTCATGATTAGTTCTACGGAACAGAATGTTCCTATGAAATATGTATCAATGAGCGTCTTGAAGAATTACTTCTTCTTATTAGGTCAAAATACTTGTCCTCCAACTTGAAGATGGTGCCAGTGGACATCGCAGCAAAGGTTCAGTATTTTACCCAAGACGTTATCGCTACCATTACTTTTGGCAAGTCCTTTGAGATGGTCCAAAAGGACACTGATACAAATGACTACATCAAATCCATAAAAGAGGGGTTCCTAACCGCCAACATTCTGGTTGCCTTCGGGCTTGCGAAAATTTCTCAGTCGTCACTCATCGGCCCAGCTCTAACTCCTGTAGCCGTTGAAGAGACTGGGTATGGAAAACTACTTGCAGTCTCCACCAAACTTATAAAAGAGCGCGAGGCAAATCCTCACGAAAAACCAGAGGATATGCTCGACTCATTTATTCGGCATGGTGTAAAAGGTGATGCCCTGCGGTCCGAGGTTCTCGACACTCTAGTCATCGGGTCCTTCGGACCTGCCTACTCTATCTGCTCAGTGATTCTACACACCTTAGCAAATCAGGGCGTTCTTACCAAACTCCGGTGCGAGATTAATGAGGCAGTTGCTACAGGTAAGGCGCCCCGGATAGGCGAGGGGCCTATCAGCTTTGCCCAGGCCAAGCAACTTCCATACCTGCAAGCCGTGATTCGCGAGTCACAACGAATGCTACCGCCTGTAATTGGCCTTTTCCCTCGCGACATCCCTGCTGGGGGAGACATTGTCACTGTGGCCGGCAAGACTATATTCCTGCCTGGAGGTGCATATATTGGACGATCGGTGTATAGCATGTTCCATTGTGAAGAAACTTACGGTCATGACGCCGATAATTTCCGCCCAGAGCGCTGGTTTGAAGCTGAAGACGCGAAGCTTGCAAATATGGTTCGTGTAAACGAACTTATTTTCAACCACGGAAAATACCAATGTATGGGAAAGGTGATCGCTCAGACGGAAATAGCGAAAGCCGTGTTTGAGGTGAGTGCCGAAATTGTTCAGCAGGCATAGCCATATTGCTAACAGTGTGGATGAGCAGCTACTACGAGAATTCGATTTTGACGTTGTTAGTCGAGACAAAGACCCCTGGAAGACAGTTGATATGTTTGGAATTTGCGGGGTGTCAGATTTTTGGGTACATGTAAAGAGCATTGAATAAAAAACACAAATATAAATAGCGTTTTAGTTGGCAAATTTTGGTAACCTTAAAAATATATAAGCTTAAAGTTTCTTGGGAGGCGAGATTCGATACTATTGGTTGAGCTTTTTTTAAGTCCCAGGCGTTTTATTGGAGTTATCGAAGCTCAATATTAGTCATCATAATACTCACTTTTTAGTCATCAAGGTGGTGCATGCTTTGCTGCTAAAAGGGCCTGTCATGTAGGCCATGCTCTCTGTCAATATATGTGTATCATATAGTATCATGTACGTAATATCCGCGAGCATGGGAGTGTCATCTGTCTTTGGTGATCTGGATTATTCCTCTGCATTGCTATACACTTAGGAGAAAATGTTGACGTCACGTGAAAGATAGACGCCCGGACCAACAGTGTTCCTTGTCCATAACTAAAATCTCTCCTACAGCATACCTTTAAAAAATTATTAATGAGCACCAGCTTGTGCATAATCCCCCCAGTTCGAGCTCAGATTATTCTACATGATCTTAGTAATCTATATATGGATCTTCTAAGCTACTTTCGTTTATGCGACTGTTGTCAAGGAATTCGAAATGACGGCAGTTATGGCCTTGCGCGCCGCGGTGCACAATCTTTGTACCATCCCGGTGAAGGAGTTGACCTCGACGGCTGAATATATTGCTACAACGATTAGCGAAAGCAGTGCGATTCTGTCTGTACCGGCTAACCAGGGTCAATCCGCCGGCGAACCCGACAAAGCAGGTCTCCTCCAAAAATTGAAGGCCCGCATCACCAGCCTGTTACAGGATAAGACGGTTGAAGGACGATGGGCCGGCGTGGTTATTATGAAAGCAACGGTGGAGTCTGGGAGATGGGAGATATTACGTGGCTGTGAGCCCTGGGCTCGCTATATACTGGCTATACTAGGTGTATGTTTGATCGAAAGCTACTGCCTTAAGGCAGACGTTGAAGACTTGCGAAATGCTAATCAACAGCTGCACTAACAGAAACCAGACCCATTATCGTTGAAGAAACTGGGTATCTTGTGCCTTACGCGGATATTTCAACTCACGCATCCATATCCAACACTGACTCGAGAAATAACGACGCCTATGCTACCACAGTTCATAACCGCTTGTCTAAACACTATATCCACACCCAGCGGCACCAAAAACAGAACCTTAAAGTACGGGAACTCCTTAGTCGACACTGTATTGTGCTCCTTCTTAACGCTCCTTCCAAACCATCCAACCATTTTCCGGCCTTTCTTGACGCAACTTCAAACACTTGTCCTGCCGCTGGTAGCTTCATCGAATACGCAAAATGTGATACCCCAGTCCACGAGGTGGGCTGCCCAGCAGCTCTTCGTATCACTTCACCAGTGTGCTCCAAAGAATACAGGAAATGAAGAATGGGCCAAGGCTATTCGTACCACAATTCTATCTGCACATCGAACTACGGACCACTTGTTCAGATCTATAGTAGAGCACTGGAAATCAGTTGATTCTACATTGCCACAGGGAACTTGTAATAGGCCTTCACACTCCATTGTTGGTGACTTCGGAATTGGCCCTCTTGAGCTCCCTCCCTGGTCCGGAATACAACAAGGAACTGGGCGGTTAGTTGGTCTACTAGAGCTCTTGTCGAGTTTCCTCAAGTCAAGATCGAACTCAACAGTTTCCATACCTGTAGGCTCAATTCTTGATCTAACATGCCGGCTGGGGTCTATCGCTCCTCCTTCAATCTCAGGAGAGCATGGTGCCTCCATCAATCCCGAGATAAGTAGAGACGAACGAGAAGCATTACTGAGCGTAATACCTCCCATGCATGCAGCCTCTATGGGCGTACTACAGTCTCTCCTTGAAACTTTTGGCACAGAGAATCTTTCGATTGCCAGAAGCTGTTTGGAACAAATTATCTGGATGTTTACGTCTTCAAATCCTGCCCGGTCTGTCCGAGAAGCGGCATATAAATGCTTTGTTGCACCACTCACGATTCTGGGCCCGTCACTGACCAAACCAGATGTCCTGTCGCTAGTACCAGTCCTCCAGACCGCATGCAGTGATATAGTACCGCCCAAAGATTCTGCTATAGTCACTGGAAATACGACCTCAGGTGGCAAGGGCACATCAACTTCAACTGGAACCACCGATGCAGATGCATTCTTACAGAACAAGTCGAAGCTAAGTCCCGGACATTCCAACGAGACTGGTCCTCTCGCAGATTCAGCTGTCAGATTATTACTCGCGACCATTACATATGTTCAAATCGAATATATTCCCTTGTCAGTTCGTGCGAAGATTGATCGCACATCAATCCTTGCTGGCAACAGTGATCTTATGGTGGCCTGTGTTCTTAATCCAATACCTTCAACCGAGTCGCAGCGTGGACATCCTAGCATACTCCCATTCCTGGCGAGAAGCCAGCCTAGTAACTCTAGGGTTGAAGGGTTACTTCGGCCTCGTATGCCTGTGATATTTACTGGGGCAGGCAGGAAAGGAAGAGCTGAAATCGAAGATTATGAGAATGGCACTGAGGTAAAAACACACAGCGGCGATTCTTTGAGCAAACAAAACCCCGATGCGCGGGAGTTCTTGGCTGAAAAGTTTGGGCCCCGTCCAGCCCCCATTACCACCGAACCTACAGCCCTGCTGAGCGATGCTGGACGAAATAAACGAAGACATCAGGATGATGTCGACAATGCTCTTCCAGCTGATTCGCCACAGCCCGATAAACGACCTCGGGTTCAAAATGATATACCAACATCCTCTGATGCCTTACCGAGCGGGAAAGTGGCTCAAGCCCTTGATGTTCTGTCAAGCTCATTAAGCGGTCCAAGTGATCAGAATACTTTGAAAATGAACGTGTTTCCGGAGCCCGAAATCAACCATCCTACCCAAGACAAAGCCCAAGAGCCTAGTCAACCGCCAACGATAACCGAAAGTCATGAAAAAGTTCCTGCGGCTGATGCGGAGAGCGATGACGAGATTCCTCAGTTGAATATTGAATCCGATACTGACGAGGAGGGTGAAGATTGAGAAACATCGTGTATATTTATTCAGGAGTCGTGTTTTTAGCGGTATTTAGAATACTTTCACAGGACCAAATCCTTATTCAAGGCGGAAGGCTGAGACAAAGCTCTCTTTAATTATATGATTCTATGGCCATATATGGCTGCTCAAAAATGCCACCAATTAACCCCCTGCGAAAATAATAGCAGGAAGCTCAAATTGAAGATTCCACCATTCTATATCTATACTTGAGTCAAGCCGGCGAGGCATGAATCTATAAAACGATACCACACTCCCACCACCTTGTTCCCTTCCACCATCGCAGTGGTTCAGCTTGCCAACGCACTGCGCCACCTGTACCCTTTGCAAACCCCATAGCTCTAATGGGACTATATGGTACCGGCTCCTCCATCCAAACGCCGCCAATTGTAAAATCATCACAAAGCAAAGGCCCAACACAAGCCAGCCAGACCAGGACAAAGACACATTTCGACAGGCGTTTCAGCCACACAGGGATTCTGAAAGGTATCAATCGTCCAGAGAGTTTTTCAATCGATATTTGGAAAAATATACCAACGATTTGAAGTGCGAAAAATAGAAACTGATTGAAGGGGTTCGTGGAGGAGTTCTGCGTATAGCTCCCCGAGAAATGCAGGATGCCGCTCAATGTAAACGAGATAATAACTTGGAGGCCCCAGAAAATCGACTGCGGCCATTTTCTCCCCGGATTTCTGGATATCAGCTTGGATTTGATCCAGTTACCTGGGGCTAGAAATCCAGCTCTGAACTGTTTATGCCAAAACTTTCCCCAGAATCCTACCAGACCTTCATCCAAGATTGGAATAAGTACATCTCCAAAATAAGGTGGATAGAGAAAGGAGGCTTCAAATGGGATCCTGGTCTTAAATCCAAGCGGTGTCTGAGATATGGCTAGGAAAACAGTAGCCGATATCGTGGTTGGGAATAATACTGCGCAATACACAGCTGCTCCGCTCATAGCAAGGCGATACATATATGCTATTGTAGGTGCGAGAGGCCCACAGATAGCAAGGAATGGCGGGGGCGGATAGATAATGTGGCCCAGGAAGTGTCGGTCTCCAGTTGAGATGACTTTCAGTAAATCGAGACAGAAGAAATAGAGCACCGACTTATAGATGCTACCCACCAGCACGCCTCTGGTATTTTCCTCTTCCCAAAGCATATCCACATCCAGGTCGGCATTCTCACCCCGAGACAGCTGGAGTTGGACTTGTTTTGGGAGAGGCGGGAAGTCCTTCGGTCTCCAGTTCCAATGCGGCCCCCTATGGCTGAAGAGAAGATCAAAGGCCCAGGTGAATCGGTGGCCCAGCTTCTCTGGAAAGCCCTGCCATTTGAACCGCGGAACTATCTTTGGATCGGAGCAGGTAGCCTTGCCGTTCGCATCCCCATTTGTAGAGTCATATTCACTTGAGGAATTCTTCAATATGGCTGAAGTGCGACCAGCCTTGCCACCCCGTCCCTGCAGCAAATTCTCCTTCGAGGTACTGAAAGGTACAAAGGACCGTTCAATCCGCTTATAAGTTCCTTGCACGTCATTGAATATGAGCAAGGAGGCGCTCCATATGCTAAGCCATGAGAAGACCAATCCAACGCCATAACCACCCAAAACGAGAAGCGACCTGCAGTGTACGATGACATATATGTTCAAGTAAAGAGTGTAAAAATAAAGTAGATGTCTTATATATTTGACAGGCCCGTCGCGAGGCCACTTGATCACAAGGGCGAAGATAACGATGAATACTGATGCAAAGTCCCGGGGAAACACCAAAGGTTGGAACTCTCCAGACTCGATTTTGGCATCAAAAAGCTCATTTCGACGCTGCAGATGTGTCTTCACTGTGTCTATATAAGAAGTATCCATCCTTAGAGCAGCACACCAGGATGGAATCACAACCTGGAGAGCCAGCGAGTGACAAGGCTGGCTCGAGATTTGGTCTGGGAGAAATCTAACAATAACTTAAGGGGTGGAGTTAGAATTATTCTCGGGAATCGGGCAATCATTGGTTGCCACACTTGTGTATTTATTGATGGCTGACCCTAGTCTATGAATCAGTGGCTTGTATCGGTATCTATCCTCGCATGAAATTATTATGTCTTGCCGTCACAGAAGCTGTAATAGGAATAATAACAATACTAGGAGGTGGTTAAGTATGAGAACCCCGGTCGAAAATGCTGCATAAATAGGCGGAGGATTCTCTTCGCTAATCTTGAAACGCCGGGTTTCTTTTAGCTAGTTAGTATGTGTTCTGGAGTATTCCTTGTTTGCGTACGGAGTAAAGGATCCAAATCATAGTTCTGAGACTACAGAGTACAGAGTACCCGTCTTAACCTTGACCCATTGATCATGCTCCTGAGAAGGGCTCGCCCATGACGGCGACAGGGGGGGGGGATTGCAATTACTCCGTACCAGTCCACTATTTCGAGGAAGCCTTGCATTCTGGGAAAACGATGTGGAGGACAGAAAGTCATTCGTATAACTGCGTGCAAACAGCCATAAGAGAGTATCCCGTAGTTAGCTCCCTGAACATGGCGTGACGGCTCCATATAACTAATGGTTATACTGCCAAGGCTGGACACCGTAATGACCGAGGATAACTGGTAGTAATCACCAGATCGCCGCGAGTGTACTTGGCGTTTGAATCGAAAATGTCTACTCCGTAAAACAATTCCGATTAGTTTATTCTCCTTTCTCTCTCTCTTTTTTTTCGTTTCGCCAGAAAAAAACAGCAAAAAATCAACAAAGCGTTTTTAAGGTTTGGCGGTTATTAGCCGCGCGCCAAATAATTGTCGACTTATATCACGTGATGGTATTATTACCCATATAGGAAAAGAAACCTTGATTCTAAACGCGTAAACAAGCGCAATGAAAAGCTTAGATAATCCTAATCAGTGCGACTTTCACTTGCATAAAATCGATATTTTTGACAGCTTGGATGAGGAAGAATAAGAAGCATGGCATTTATCTATACGATCCCCTTCTGTTGTGCCAATATCCCCAACTGGAGTGTTGAAACGCGGAATCAACACGACTATCAACGTTTTATCCATTGAGCTGAGGCAAAAATCGCGCCAAGACAGTGTTGGTGAGTTTAGGTTAACTAGCTATGGAGAACATTTTGCTTGATCTTCTGGTTTGAAAGTAATGATAATTCTGGCCTGAGGAATCCCAAAAGCCATTGAATCGAGATATCATGCAAAATGTCAACCAAACGGCGGATTAATCTAGTTGATCTCACTGGAGATGGAGAACCAACCTCTGACTCGACTCGCAAGAGCCACACAGCTCCTACTGATGGCCAGGAGCTTCGGGCGCGTCAGAGCGTCGTGGATCTTTCTCAGGGGGAGCCGAGTTCCCAGATGGAGCGTGATGAAGAACTATATGCAATGCAGACAGTTCAGGATTCTCAATTCGATGAAACGGCTTACTTGACCTCAGAGCTCTACGGTATTTATCTCTTGGACATGCCAAGATATCGCAGGAAATGGACCAGAAATACTAACTAGGAAAATTCCTCTAGGCCATCTGGAAACTAAAGTCGTGGGCGTGAGGTTCTACAATGGCCATGCCACATTTGGCGAGTGTGTCCTTATCAAAAGAGACAGCAACAACAAGTATGATTCAAATGCTGTCAGAATCGACAATGTCATGGGCCACCAAATCGGTCATCTACCTCGTGTGCTAGTTAGCAGGCTTGCTCCTTATATGGTAATTGGCTGTCTCCGTTGCTAGACATACTGGTGCTGAATTGCCCTTAGGACTCGAATGAACTGCTGGTAGAAGGCACACTCTCCGGTGAAATCGGAGCATACGACTGTCCTATTACACTTCACCTGTATGGAACAAGTGAGCCTGGGGCAAGGGAACAACTAATGGAGAAAATGCAACGTGATAGGTTACCAACCACTGTGGTTAAAGCAGCAATTCGGAAACAAAAACAAGATCTTGCAAAGAAGGCCAAAGAGGATGCTGCGAAGATGCGTGCAAATGCGAGAGCCTTAGCCCAGCAGAAGAAAGGCAATCCAATGTTTGCGAATCTTTCCCAAGGGACAGAACCGACCCAGCAAACAGAGAGTTTGGACGAACTTCTTTCTCAGAGTATCGCATTTAACCCCCGAGAAACAGAAAAGATTGTGGAGAAGTTTGGCATGGATGAAACCGAACTTTCACAAATGCCAATGTCAGAATGCCCTCCTCAGCTTTCAACGGAACTCCTTCCATATCAGCGGCAGGGACTGGCATGGATGCTTGACCGCGAATCCCCCAGCCTTCCAAAAGAAGGCTCTGACGATATTGTGCAGCTATGGAAACGAGTTGGCAAGAGATACATGAACATTGCAACTAATTACTCATCTTCGACTGCGCCGCCACTTGCAAGTGGTGGAATTCTGGCGGATGACATGGGCCTTGGTAAAACGTTACAGGTCATCTCGCTAATACTAGCTAATTCGACCCCCAAAACATCAAAGTCTTCCAAGGCCACACTCATTATTTCTCCTCTTGGTGTGATGAGCAATTGGAGAGATCAAATAGCGGCTCATATTCACAAGGAGTATGCTTTGCGTGTCCTAACATATCACGGCTCTGGCAAAAAAGAAGCTGCAAATCTCTCTCAATACGACGTAGTTATCACTACGTATGGTGCCCTTGCCTCAGAATACGGACAATTGCTCAGTGCAACCGGGAAGCTTGCAAAGACGAAAAGAGGGCTTTTCGCTATACGTTGGCGAAGAGTGGTCTTGGATGAGGGCCATACAATTCGAACACCAAAGACAAAGGCAGCTTGTGCAGCTTGTATGCTAGAGGCAGACTCACGTTGGTCTCTTACCGGTACCCCCATCGTCAATAACTTGAAGGACCTGTACTCCCAAGGAAAATTCATCAGGCTATCCGGTGGCTTGGAGGATCTACCTGTCTTTCACAGTGCATTGATTCGGCCTTTGAATGCTGGTGATGAAAATGCTAGCCTTCTACTCCAGGCCTTGATGGCAACCATATGCTTAAGACGCAGAAAGGATATGAGCTTCGTAAACCTTCGTCTACCCCCTATGGAATCTCATATACTACACGTTAAATTTCTTCCCCATGAGAAGGAGAAGTACGAAATGTTTGAGTATGTAATTACCCATCCAATACTTAACCTCATTAAACAAGTAAATAATACCAATACTCTAGGGCCGAGGCTAAGGGTGTCTTCATGGACTTCCAGTCAAACAAAGGCAAGAAAACAACATATTCCCATGTCCTTGAGGTTCTTCTACGACTTCGTCAAGTATGCAATCATTGGAAACTTTGTCACGACCGTGTCAAAGGACTTATGGAATTACTGGAGAAGGATAAGGTGGTTAAGCTCACTCCGGAGAACGTCAAGGCACTTCAAGCCGTATTGCAATTAAGGATCGAGAGCCAGGAAGAATGTTCCATTTGCCTCGAAAGCCTAGACAACCCTGTCATTACCCCCTGTGCACACGCTTTCGACTACTCCTGCATTGAGCAGACAATCGAACTCCAGCACAAATGCCCTCTCTGTCGGGCCGAGATCAAAGACTGCTCGGAATTGGTATCCCCTGCTGCGGAATTTGGCGAAGACTGCAATCAAGTTGACGTAGAGTCAGATTCTTCGAGCAGTAAAATCCAGGCTCTTGTCAAAATCTTGACGGCAAAAGGTCAAGCCACTGGGACGAAGACGGTGGTTTTCAGCCAGTGGACATCCTTCCTTGACTTGATTGAACCTCACCTTGTCTTATACAACATCAACTTTGCCCGAATTGATGGAAAGATGAACTCCGCCAAGCGTGACGCTGCCATGGGTAAATTCTCCCGTGACTCAGAATGTACCGTGATGCTTGCCAGCCTGAATGTGTGCAGTGTCGGCCTTAATCTGGTGGCTGCCAACCAGGTTGTCCTGGCTGATAGCTGGTGGGCTCCAGCCATTGAAGACCAAGCTGTGGATCGCGTATATCGCCTGGGCCAGACACGTCCTACAACTATATGGAGACTCGTCATGGAAAACAGTATTGAGGACCGAGTACTTGATATTCAGAAGGAAAAGCGGGAACTTATGAGCACGGCTTTCCAAGAGAAAGCTGGCCCTAAGGATCAGACACAACGATCTAGATTAGCTGATCTGGAAAAACTCCTTCGGTGAGATGTTCTACGAATACAAACTCAACATTCGTACCAATGACTTTAGTCTTGTATAGTCTTTTTCCTAGTAGACACGCGGGCCATATAAAACCTTAATACATGATCAGCCCTGTCCCCTGAAACATTGCAGAGGGACAATGTGAATTTTGTATAGTAAATGTATACGTAGAATAGTACTAGACGGGCAACAGTTGTACAGGGGACCGCAAGAAACATAAAAGTAAAAAAGGGTATCATGATGCAACATATCCCGTGGTAACCACCTGTCTGGCCCATTTCTCATGTACACCCAAACTACTAATCAACCTGCTTTTGATAAAAACCGCAAGGCCCGTACTAATAAATAGCCATATGCAAAAACGCTGCACAAATGGTTAAGTGATAAGGGGAAAAGCTTGGATGCGAGCGACCGTAGGGAGGCGAGAGGAGGAGCAAATTTTAACTCAAGAACAGCGGGCGGATGGTGAGTGGAAGGAGAAACTGGCTCAATATCAGACGGGGCTAGCGAGGTTCGTTCGTGGGAAGGGAAGAAAGAAGTATCTAAAGAGGGCTCTATTGTTGTTTGCAGTTCTGCGTCGTTGGATCATCATCGACGCTCGAACGTGGATCTTATCGTCAGGGTTGACTCAGTGTTTTGCTCTTGAATTGTTCCACCATGTAGTGTTTACTTACCTCTTATCCTCGCGTGTATCATTTCTGGAGAACTGGGTCTGGGCTCTGGTAACGGCTGGGTAATTAAAGGGGGTAATGGAGAAGGCTGTGTACTTCGAGATTGAGTGGCCTGCTTCCCTAGGTTGCCGGGGTTTTGTAGAGACGCAACAGACGGAGAGATTGGTTGTTGCGTTTGAAGGGAAACGGGAGGAGCCTGAGAAACCGAAGCCGTAGCTGGAGCTAGGGTCGGGGTCGAGGGATCTGAAGGAGCTCGGCAGATGGAAGTAGCCGGACCTTGAGCTCGAGGGGCCAGAACTGGAGCTTGAGGTGTTGGGAGAGTTGGAGGGGCTAGAGAAACCGGAGTTGATGGAGGACCTTGCACCGGCCGTGATTGTGTAGGAGGTGCCTGAGTTGGTACCGTTTCGCTTCGACCTTGTGATGAAGCTGAAACTTGTGACGGGGACTGCATTTGATCTGATGCTTGGGAAAAAACCTGAAGCTGAGGCTGCGGCTGTGGTGAATGCGGAACTGGGGGCCGAGGGATAGCCATATTCTGCGTATTTATGACACCATTGTTACTGTGAGAAACAGGTCCTGTCTGGGGCTGTGACTGTAGTTGTGGCGAGCGCTGAATGGGGGGCCCAGAGGGAGCCGCATTCTGCGTATTCATGACACCGTTGCTACTATGAGTAACTGGTACTGTCTGGGGCTGTAGGTGAAGTTGTGGCGAGTGTGGAGCTGGAGGCCAACGGGGCCGCATATTCTGTGTACTTATGACACCGTTGCCATTCTGAGTAAAAGGAGCTGCTTGCTGCATAGGAAGGGAATAGTGGCTAGGTCGAGATTGAAGGCTGTTGTTAACAGGGAATCGTTGTTGAAGCGCCTTCATCATTTCTTCCTGAACACGTTTGTCTTGTGCTAGCCTCCTTTCATGTTGCTTCTTTGCCCACAACTCAGGGTTGGAGCGTTCCAATTTCTCATCATCTAACTCTGCTTGAATCTCGTTTTTCTCTTCCGGAGTAAATTGCACACCATCCTCACGATGGAGGTTTTCTGAGGTGACAATTCGATGAATGAAGTTAGTCTGCTCGAGAATTTTGTCTAATACCTTTGGGTCTTTGCCCCGGAATTCGGACAAATCATGCTTCTTGCACCTTTGGATAGGGCGTCTGAATTCGCTGGTAGACTTGCCCGTAGACCGTGTAGGGTTCTTTTTGTCAATAGCCCGAAGGGCCATGTTTTTCTTGAAAATACCCTTCTCATGTATCAATTCCTCGAACGTTCCTCCCATGACGAAGCGATAGACAAAAACGTCCTTGGTCTGTCCAAGACGGTATGCCCGCCCAATGGCCTGCTCCTCCCAGGTTGGGTTGTACTCGGACTCAAAGATAATAACCCGATTTGCGCCAATAATGTTGAGACCTAAGGCACCCGCTTTCGTTGAGATGAGGTATACGTGCGCATCCGAGTCTCTGAAATCCCTTGTTGCTGCCTGTCGAGTTGCTATCGGCGTCTTTCCATCCAAGCGACAGTACTTGTGGCCTCTTGCATCTAACATTGAGCCAAGATAAGAAAGTGTGTGTAAATATCCCGAAAAAATGAGGATTTTATCACCGGCTTTGATAGATTCGTCAACAATTTGTCCAACCATTTGCGTACGATGAGAATTCTTAGGAGAATCCAAATCTTTTATGTCTTTGAACTTTTGCTCAAATTGTGATACAACTTCATCCGTTATGGCGGTTTGGCCCTCAATTTCGAGAACATCATCCTCCACAGTGATTAAGATTGAGCTATCATCAATGTTGGCTTCAGGCTCGGACTCCGAAGGAACTATTACGCCCGGGCCTCCTTCGATGGCTTTCTCCCTCTCGATGAGCTGGCTCCTTTCTTTCTTTTTCTCAAGAATCCTTCGCAAGAAACATGAAGGATGATGGCATAGAAGGGTCAGATAAGAGAGCAAAACCCACAGCCGTGTGAATTCAAATTCACCTTTCCCTTCCATGGTCAAAGCGACGAACTGATTGTAGGTCTCCTTTTGCAGAGGTGTCGGTGGGATATAAATGACAAATTCAAATTTGGAAGGAAGGTCCTTTTGGAGGACTGATATACCGGCCCGGTTTACCTTTGGCTCAAGAACCTTTTTTAAGACTTCCAATTTTTTCCGAGACTTGACGTATTCCGCATTGGTACTGTCATAGTATAAACCTTCTCTTATGGGCTCCTCATATTTAGCTTTGAATTGTTTCAGTGTCCCAAGGTAGTTAGGCGAAATCCAATTGACCATTTGATAGTAATCAATCAATTGATTTGACAGAGGAGATCCGGTTAATGCGATGCGACTTTTCGACTTGAACATACTGCATGCTTTTGATAGGTTAGACGCACCATTCTTCATCTTGTGTGCTTCATCTGCAACAACGATATTTGGACCATCGAGCAACTGTCTTTTGATTATCTCACACTGTTCGGTAGACAGTTTTTGCAAGCCAGTTTTCTGGGGATTGTAAAGAATCATTCGTCGCAAGAGCTCATGACTGATCAGTAGAACACCACCCTCAGTATACCAGGCATTGATGTTATGAAGCCGCTGTATTGGGTCCTGGGATACAGCTTTACGCACTTGCCCTAGGTTATACCTAGTCGCTGCATCTGGTGGGGTCCATTTAGCAAATTCTTCTTCCCAGTTATCTATTAATGATGCAGGGCACGTAATCAGAGTCCTAGATGTTCTAAACCGCTCCGGGATCTGCTCTTTGATTTTGGGATTTGACGAATTTGAAGCAATGGCAATGGTTACCAGAAGAGAGATCCTTTCCTTAAGATTAGCACGGCATTTTATACACAAGATAGGGAGCCCGAGAGGTAACTTACACTTGCATTGTCTTCCCCAGTCCCATTGTATGAGCTAGAAGACAACCTTCATTTTTCTCATCCTTGATCAGCTCTCTCCACATGAATTGAATCCCTGAAAGTTGATGCTCTTTGATGCGGCGTCCGAGATCGCGGTGTAGACAGATAACAGGATCATCAAAGCTGACGATTTTCTTCTCTGGATCATCATTTTCAATTCCCCCTTCTTCTTGTAATATCCGCTGCCGTGTTGCCTGTTCTTCAACACGGCGCTGCGCCCGACTTTGTGTCTCCATGGCTTCCCTACTTTCTGCCACGGCTCTCTTTCTTTTTTTGCGTGGAGTGGATCTCACAATTTCTTGCGCCTGAGCTTCTTTCCCTGAAGGCTCCTGTTCATCATCATCATCTATAATGATAATTGGATCGGTGACCAGAGTAGAGCCATTGCGCGAGGTATTCTGCGACGAGTTGATGATTTCGCAGGATGTCTCCCGCTTTATACTCTTTCGATGCTCAACACAAAGAATCTCTGTAAGATCATTATAATAAGGAAACACTTCGTCCTTACGGCGGGCTTCCTTCAAGTAAGCTGTCGGAATACCATTCTTAATCAGTACCACTTTGAACCACGAAACGTACAAGGTAGCCATCCTCTTATAGAGAAAGACATCTTCCCCAGTTATAGATGTAATTTTATGTCTTTCCTTCTGAATCGCCTTTAAGGCCTCTCGTAGTCGCCGACGCCATGTATTCTTTTCCACAGAGCCAAGTAATGAAGTTAATTTCGCTCGCTCATCCTTGGACAGAGTATAGATGGTTTTGGCGAGGAGTAGTCTCCTATCGCCCCGCTCTATAACGGTCTCCCAATCGATTTTATTTAATGCAGCAACATCAGTTATATCAGGTTGCCTAGATGATTCGTCATCTGAAGGAGAGCGATCGCGTACCGGGTTAGGAAGAGCAGGAGGGGGAGGGGGAGAAAACGCAAGCCCATCCTTCGAACTTCCCATGGGATTTAATGGGGGTGTGTGGATATCCAGGCTGCCAGAGCCGTTAGCATCCTCTATCTCTTGTTCATCTTCTATATCTGCTTCAGTCAGGTCCAGAACATCAACATCTTCAAATGGGCCTCCTATGGGGATCTGAGCAGAGGAGTCAGGTAGAGGGTTTGTGCTCTCTTTCTCTCGAATAGATGACGGTGAAGGGACAACATTTCTATTACTTTTAGGGGATATTGTTTCTTGTGTATACATCGGGTTATCATCGGACACAACGAAATCTGGGTCACTTTCCACAGCTTCGTCAGTATCGGACCCAATAGATTCCTCGTCGTGATCCCTGAAGCGTGGCCGGGGCGTTATTTGGCGAGTTGGAGGAGCACTTGGCTTGGAAGGACATGTCTCCGACTCCAAGACAGACACTCGCCATTTCTGAATCTCTCTCTGTGTCACTGTAACTTCCAATGATGCGCACTGCCGTAGGACTTTACCACGGTCACCTGTTTCATATTCGTTACTTTTTATGCCTTTTATCCAGCTAGCAAGACGCGTGTCAAGGTGAGTGATCTGGACTTTTGCTCGACGAATATCGCTGGAAACAGTTCCCTTCTTCCTCGATTTATTCCATAATGCATATGCCATCCTTTCATGGATTGGAAGCTTGGTATTCCGCCATTTTTCAATAGTATCGGTGATAAACCGATCAATAATCGCGTTCAAGTCGGCTGCGGACATCAGACTAGACGCAACATCCTCATTATCGCCTTTATCGTCGTCCCTAGCTTCGTCCATATCCCTACAAGTCTCGGAGTCATAATCTTCGGACCCAGATTCACCGTACAATGGCAATTCATTGCTCTGTGGGGGATACTTGACAGCAAGATAGTCCAAAACGGATTTTTCTCTAAGATGCGGCCAGTTTGAAACTTCCTCCATTCGAACACTGACTTTCCCATTATTTTTATTGTAGAGCGTGAAGTAGCGAGGTACATCTGGTGCAACGTTTTCGTCGTATGGAAATATTGCAAGAGATCCTTCTTTATCCTCCGGGAATGGTTGTGGTACTTGTTGTAAGAAGTGTAGTATTCGCCTATTAATAAAGCGGGATTCACCCGTTGAGGAATTTGCTGGACGTACGTATCCGAACGTATCATTATCATCGTCACTATCAATCCCTTTATAGAACACATCCTTAACCGGATGCTTCTGGAAACACAGGTATCTCTTCCGGTGAGGATTCTCAGGGATGTTAGCAAGTAATTGGGTAGATAGCGCGTCAGGATTGAGACGTCGACGTTTTCTAGCGTCTCTTTCTTTTTGCTGGGGTGCCGGGGGATCGACAAGCTTAGGCGTAGACTCGGCGGGTTGAGGGGTAGCCAGTTGGGCTAGCGGAGCTTGAGACGGGGAAGAGGATCGTAGGAGGGTCGGTATAGATCTGTTTTCGGCCACAGGTGGGCCAGGAAAGGTGTCGACTCTGGCAGGGGAGGAGGTGACTACGGCATTCTGGGTATTTGAGAAGTCATTATTAACACCGTTACGAAACTCGGAAGAACGCGATCTCAAGTACTGAATCGCCTTGAAGATTGTTGCTTGGTGTCCGAGGGCTTTCAACCCAAGATAGCGAGGCAAGGCCTCCCTATCGACTTCAGTCAAAAGGACTTCCCCAGTCACGTAATTCTCCCGCAGGTGGCCCTCCAATTGGATTGGATCGGGACGCGGGAGAGAGGAGCGAGCCCAGTCGTTGAACGAGCCATGGCAAAGGTACGCGACCACTTCATCAATAGACCAGAAGAACGGGTCCGCCTCCATCGTGCCCTTGACCTTTTGCAGTCAAGCGACAGAGGACTTTTCTTCTGTCTCGCTGGTCGTGTTTTTTGCAGCTTCTGCAGCTTCCGTCCCGCTGGACGCGTCGAAGGACGTTGGTTTCTTTTCCTTTTTTAAGGTTTTGCGAAGCGATAAGCGACGTCTCAACGAGAGATTTAGCAGATTATATAGACTGGGAGATTTTTAATTGGCTAAATTCTGTGATTTGATCACCTGATGTCTGTATAGTTCTACGATACTCTATTTTAAGTTACTATTATGTAAGCAAATTCCGTCCGCTTCTGGCTGCGAGCTAGTTGCTTCTCTGACCTCACCAACGACTGCACTGGTTGAATAAGTTACTCAGTCTAAATGGACGGAGGTTTATTCCATCTAACTGCCTTTATCTGATGTCTGCCGTTAGTTATCTATCATTCAGCCTGGGCTTGTTGAATGGCAGATCTGACTGATCAGTTACGAGATGATCGACTCTCAGCTCATTTTATCCATACGACGAAGCTCACTTCTAAGGCGCATACGTGAAACCCAACTGAGTTATGAAACAAGCCTTTCATTCTTAGCTAACTCACCTATTCCTATAGTTAACTCTGCAGGAATGGTACATCGGAGCGTCTTAAGGTTGGATTCTCCAAGGATCCCGGCTATTCGCTCCAGGTACATGACCAACCGGCAACCGCTTAACATATGGTACTAATAGAGAAGCACTGGACGATGGACTGTTTGACGCGGTTTATATCTTTCTGCTCTCTTTCGCCTCGCTTTCCCCTCAGAGTGGCCTAGAGAAAGCTGTTCGAGGTGACTGCGGAGTTGACACCTCAGAGGAGTGTTACTTAAAATCCGACATTCGAACACCTGTTCTATCTCCGTTAACTCTTGTGATGATTACCGAGTCCAAAAATCCTGCTCCAAAACCGATATGTCACTTCGATAGCAGTATGAGCAAGTCAAGCTTGACAACATTCGTGGAGCCGGGAAAACTGTCTATGAGGATAATCTCTTCAGAGCTAATAACTATGTAAGGTGAGAGTCGACGAGGCCAAATTCTTTGGCTGTTTGCATCGACACGATGAGGAACCGATGGCCGTGTAGATAAGGGCAGCTATCGCATCCCAGTAGTTATTAGGATGACTGCGAGAAGGTAAAGTCCGTGGTAATCTCTATAGAGCTAACTAACGGCGGGGCAAAGTGGTGGGCTCGGCCCAGGAGGTTGATTGATAAGCGGCGCAACGCAACGTCAATTTTCGGCCCAGCTCGAAACTCCCGGAACTTTTTGCATCTTATAAATCTATAACTATATAAAGACTACTGCTAGGCCGTTTAGAAGAGATAATAGACATTTCCGCCTGCCTCCTTTATTCCGTTATAAATTTTCAACAGCCGGGAAGTCCTCGGCTACAGCACCAATGGACCTCGCAGCTTGCTACCCTCCAGAGCTCTCCTCCGAGCAGAAGCAGCATCTAGTTGCTACCATCAAGGACTGGTGTATTCATCATGGTCTTGCTGTCAGGCCTCCTCCGGCATTCGTACAAGGAACTTCAGATCCACAGGGTGTGCTGGCGACCAATGCTCCGGTGACTCTGTTCCCCAGTCTCTTTCCCCGGTCCTGCTATGAGGCGGCCGTGTCGGTGCAGGAAACATACAACCAGCTTTATGCCTCTATAACTACGGACACTGACTGGCTGGGAGAGATAATCGAGGAGTAAGTATGACCTAAATCTTTCCCTTCTGCTACTCTGTTTCCCTTTTTTTTTTCCCCTGTGCGGATGATTAATGGATGGTTATTAATTACCATTCCCGTGTGACAGCCTCGTGGAAGTAGATGACTTTGTGGCCGGCCTCTGGAAAGTTCATCTAGCTGTCAAAAATGAAGGATATGTACAGCCTCTCTCACTTGGCTTGTTTCGGTCAGACTACATGGTCCATGACCTTTCTGGTTCATCAAAAGAACCAGTACTGAAGCAGGTAGAATTCAACACTATTGCTGCATCCTTTGGAGGACTATCAAGCCTGGTATCTCAGATGCATACGTCTCTCCTATCATCTCCAACCGGAGAGTCTATAGTGTACCCGTCACACCCAGCCTTCAGGGGTAACTTACCACCTGAAAATACCGCTGTTCCTACTCTGGCGGGAGGCCTCGCCGCCGCCCACAAGGCATACGGTCCCTCCAAGTCTTCTCCAAACCCATTACCGCTATGTGTTCTTTTCATAGTACAGGCTGGAGAAAGGAACCTTTTTGATCAGATGGAGCTTGCAACTTGCCTCTCCCAGTCACACAATATCCCCGTATTCCGGGTTACAAGTAATGAGATTCTGGAGCTAACCTCTATTCAAGAATCTAACCCCGCTAGACCCATCATATATACCCCAAGATATTCTCCATCCACTCGGTTCGAGGCTACCACTATTTACCTTCGAGCCTTATATGGGCCTCAAGACTATCCGGATGAATCGGCCTGGAGAGCACGAACTCACCTAGAACGCTCGGCAGCCATTAAATGCCCAACAGTTCTCAACCAATTATCAGGCTGTAAGAAGGTGCAACAAATACTAGCCACAGCAGTCAGCGGCCCTGAGACGGACTACTTAACCCGATTCCTTCCTTGCATAAATCCTGGCAGAATACAACAAATACGCTCTACCTTTGCACCCCAGTATGATCTGGCCGAAGGAGGCCGTGGTAGGGAACTCGCCTTGAATCCTGAAACCGCTGCGCTCCATGTCCTCAAACCTCAGCGTGAGGGAGGCGGAAATAACGTGTATCGTGGCTCCATACCATCGTTCCTCAGATCTATTCCTGAAAAGGACTGGAAAGGCTGGATACTAATGGAACTCATACAACCTCCCCCGGCTAAGAATGTTGCACTTCGCAGCGACGGTCAAGTCCTCAGCGGTGATGTAATCGGCGAGTTGGGCACGTACGGCACGATTCTTTGGAACACTAATGGGGAGACACTGTATAATACGCAAGGTGGCTGGCTTATGAGAACAAAGGCTAAGGATAGTGATGAAGGCGGAGTGGCTGCAGGATTCTCTTCTTTGGACAGCATCTTACTCGTTTAACGCATCTGGTGGAAGTATACATGATGCTAGAATTATAGACACTTGATTTATCTCTGTAATGTTGCCCTGTCTGTCCTATCTCCATGTTGAATGAAGTCAGCTTAAGGGAGAAGTGAAAAATCACGAAAAACAGCTACCTAAGACCCCGAAAACCGTCAAAATTTGATGCTCACTATCTATCCTGAGCAACTGACGAAAGCCAATTACATCAAGGTAGGCAAGCAGGTTTCCATCCATTCCATAGACAGGCCTTTCGAAAAGAATATCATTTCAATAATGAGTAAATCACTGGTAGTTACCAGAAAGGCCAAGAAACACAGATATCGAGATATGGAACAAGGTTATCTCGACCATTTCATCTGGGAAAATTGAAATGATATAGCGGAGGTAGGGAAAACTCCCAGGTTTGCCTATGCATATTCAGCATCAAAGAAATTGTCAAATGGTCGTCGGTGGGTTAGAAATTCCGGATAGCAGATGAAGGTAGTTAGCAAAAGGGTCGTTTCTCCTCGTCATCTCGGCGGTATGAGTATTCAGGCGATGATGGGGGTTGTTTCGGATTGAATATGTACCGCCGCCGTTGAATGCAGCGGATAATGGGCTCCCACGCTGCGGGAGCAGGCCCAAGTCTGAAAGAGGTTCCGAGTCTGAGTCCTGATTGTCGTCAGAGTCGCCATCAGACAAAGAAGCAATATCCGGGGTTTTCCGTGGGCTATCCTCGAGCTCAGAATGAGATGACAATGTAGGCCGAGATTCCTGGGAAGCAAGTGGCCGACAGCATATGCCGTCGCAGTCTTCTAGAAGGTCTTGAGTGTCACAGGAAAGAACTAGCTGGCTTTTGACAAATGGATTGGTATACCGCGATTTTTGGGATTGCGCCGAAGAACCCACACTCTCACTTCGCAGAGAGGGGGTTTGCGGCAAAGGACCATTTTTGTTTGGAGAAATTGAGGATTTCTGGCTAATATTACGACCGCCAGGAGAGTCACTTTTTGGAAGGGGTTTGTCCTCAGAGCCATCTGCTCCTGTTTCTTTCACCTCGCCCTTTGCGCAGTATGTGTCTGACTCTTTCTTTTCCATAACCTTGTCAACGTTGGTTTCAGTATTGCCACTAGGAGCAGCATGGGTGAGGTTCTCCTCACTTTCAGTTGCCTTCTCAGCCTGACGTCTTAATCGATTCGCCGCTCTCTTGGCCCAAGTTTCAGGAAGATATTCTGGTGCTAAGGATCGCCAGTCGTCTTCCCCTAGAGCATTGGCGTAATCCTGGAGTTGGCAGAGGAGCTGAATGGTTGACTCCAGGCGCTGTCCTGGCAAATGAGGTCCTTTCTTTCCATCCATGAAGGTGTCCAGTGGATATCGCTGAGATGGCCCTCCATCAAGACGTTTCATAAGGAGATGCAGAGGAAACTTTTTGCCATTTGCACCAGATGCATACTCAATGGCTGTAGTGGTATTAAAAGATATCTGAGACTGAGATAGGCGCTCAACTCTTTCGACTTCGGCTTTGGTGATGCCTCCTCGGCGCGTGGTCCAGCATGAAAGACCAAGAGGGGAGCGGGCTTCGCGTTCACGACGCATATTCAATGCGTTGTCAGAAGGGATATCAGCCGGTGGAGCCGTCATCCGTGCTTTGATATCACGATAAGTAAGGCGAGAATCGGTCCGCATCCAGTATTCAAGCAGCCAGCCTGGAACACGAATGGAGATATACCGCGGAAGAAATGGGAAATCTCTAACTGCGTTAGATCCCTTGGAACTCGGAGCCGCATCATCATCCATCAAGTGCAGAACAGCAGGTCTAATAGAGGGTTCTTCTGGTGCTTCTAAACGAAAAAGCAGGGGAGGCAAGTGAGTCGAGTTGTACTTCGAATGATAGGGATGTTCACAGGTGTGAAACATATTCGGGGTGTCATCATCTGTGCTCGGCCCATTAGAGTAGTGAATCGTATACTCGAGGATTTTAGTAAGGGTTTACTCACGTTTGCATGGGCCCTTAGCAGAGGTACGCTCTTGCAGAAGGATGCCATCGTTAGTTACATAATTCCAAGACATTCGGCTCGACAAGCTCAATAAATCCTTGTAGAAAATATCAACTGATTTGGGAACCTCTCTTACCAGATGGAGCGAGAATTGATGATCCTGCATCTTCCAGGGTATTCTCAGCCATTGGGAGCTTCTGTAGTCCAAGTGCTGTGCAAATGTAGGAATGCTAAAAGATGGATCAGTTGGTTGAAAGACAGTGTCACTCCTAAGAGAGAAGAAGGATAATTCCTTTGGCCTCTTGAATGTGGGAGGAAGAAGCAACACATGCTTAGTCGTAAATTTGTCTGTTCTATTGTCGTCCAAAGTGCGTTTCCTAGAAGAATAATGAAGAGAAGATAGCAAAATATAAAAGACAGCTCATTGTCTCACTACTGTGGCCCTAAATTGTGGCTACTTAACCTTGTTTCTCCCTTATTTCCTTCAATATTTCATGATATATGAATAGTTAGAAAAATACCTATTGAGAAAGGGTAAGGGATAAGTGAGTGTATATGATAAGGGGAGGGTAGAAATAAAATTTAAGTGTTGCATCTGTCTCTTTAAATATAAAGAAAGATAGTATTATAAGCAAGTGTTATAATATAATATTGCATAGAAGGATATAAATTCAGCTTTGCAGCAGATCAAAGGATTGGGATAAAAGAGCAGGTATTAAGGGGTATCCGATAGTTAATAGCCTGTTTAGCTTGTAAATAAATAAGGAAACAAGCAGATAAATATTATCTGTAGTGATGCGGTGTTATAATCAAAGTATGGTTGAAGCAGTGAAGGTTACCGAGAAACAAGCTGGTATTGTGTCTGCTTTTACCAAGGGGTATTTCAAATAACCCCATCCACTTGGACGGTAAGATATATTTATAAGTAACAGACATATATCTATGTTCGATGACGCTCGCTACATAATAATATATAAGTTGTACCCACATTAAGTTGAACTGTTGATCTCGATGGCTGAAGAAAGATGAGGTTGAAACTGAAGTCAATCTTTGATTGCTAACAGGGACTAACTTGCATGACTAAGCGAAAAAAAATGTCTATGGGAACAACCTTAACTCAACCAACTTAACAAAACATTAAGAAAAAAAAAAAAAGCATCGATCTTATAATCACAATCTTTTTTTTTTTTTTTTTTTGTATTTTTCCTTTTTCTAGTTTTTTTTTGCCTTTCACTCTATTTCTTTTTCTAAGTCGTTTGTCGTTACTTGCTTGGTCGATTAAATTTAAATGGTTGATGTAACCGATCGCTCGGTTCAAGTTGTTCCTTTTGATCAGTCGATGTCATTTGCCAGGATCGTTCGTAGATTCATTCGCTTTAGTATTCGAAGTCGGTTGGGCCAAAATGACCGTATTTATCCACATACTCTATCAACTCAGTTTCGGTCATGCCAAAATATTGATGCAATGGCCGGGTGAGAATCTCCTCGGCCTCTGCTGAAAGCCGCTGAAGGGTGTCCTCATTGGAGCTATCTTGGCCTTGGCTGTTGGAAGCTTGAGGGCTTTGCTGTTCCTGCTGGTTGGCCTGATGCTCGCATATTTTGATGAGATCCTGCAAGCTTTGGATGTGTTTGATATTCTCTATGGGACCATCTGCGGCGATGGAAGCGTTGCTGACATTGCTTGTGGAGGAGTTGCAGATATCACCCGTGGAAGCATTGCCGTCTGGTGCACTAGTAAGTTCACTTTTTTGTGGATATTGCATCTGAGAGTCCATATGGCTTTTGATATATTCCCGGCAAAGGCGTAAGAAATTGCCATCGGTTTTGACGCTAGGGTTGCTTTGGATAATATTACGAACAATGTCTCCGTTGAGGTTTTCCAATGTGTGGTAATCTTGATCGTCTTGGTTGAGTCCGAATTGCCTATGTAGATCCTCAAAGTATTCTTCGTCACTAGCATCGAATAGTTCGATGTCCTCGTCGTCACTGGTATAAAGTAGCTCGATATCCTCGTTGTCAGAAATTTCACTGGGAATTTGAGTTTCTGACATTTGCTGCCCAGGTTGAACTGCGGCAACGGTGAGACAGTTGTTGACAATTTGAGCAGTTTCTCTGGGGTTGGTGTTGCTTCTAGAGTTGTGAAGCCTTTGAAGTTGTTGACGCTTCCAGGTAGGGACAGAGCGTCGGTCTTTCCAAATAGGGTTCTTATGGATTCTTGGTGATATGGAGCGTTTGGAATGTCTGTTCTGTACTTTTCGGAGAGTTTTTTCTGGGTTCGAGATAGTCATGGGCTGGGAATCTTGCGTAGAAGCACGAGAGCGGGCTGACTTTCTGGCCGAATTCACGACTGGTACCCAGGCGTTCAAATAATCCATGACATCAGCAGTATCGGAATCTAAATCCGAATAATCAGAAATGGGGGTGGGCTGCTGCCAGAATGCATCGTCTTCTTCAGAGTATGATTCTGCTTCACGAGATTTCTGCGGCCGTTCTTCCTCACAGCGTTTCAGATAGTCTTGCATTATCGAAGTGCGCAAGATAGCTTCTTCGAGGTCAGGATCATTTTGACATTCTTGGTGGACGTCTTCTGTTCTTCCTGCCAAGACATTACTGGCAGTCTCCATGTTGGGTGCTCTAGCTCCTCTGATATTACCTGAGGCTGAAAGATTTGGCGCAACAATATAGGCAGCCTGAGGGTCGGAAATCACATCAGCCGCAGCACTAGCAACTGCCTGAGCCGGCATGGTGTTAGCTGGCGAGGAACTAGGGGTCGGCAAACCACTACCAGGCGCCGTTGCAGTCGGCATTGTAGCCGGAGGAGGAGTAACGGATATGGCTTCTGCAGATGGTGTGACGGAGGGTGGAGTCACAAGGATGAATTTAGACGCAGCTCCTTTCCTCTCCGGAGTGGTATTCGGGGTGTGAGTCTGAGTTCCTTGAACCAATGCTGGCGCAAGGGTAAGGTTCCGGGCGGCCATGCCTCGTCTGATTGTAGTGTCTGGCCTTTTAGAGTACTGGTTTGGAGTTGGGATCCGTTGAGTAATGCCATTTTGGTCCGTATACGTTCCTGGAGTTAAACCCCGAGTAGTGTTTTGGTTGAGATCAATACCCTTCTCAATCAACTTGCTTCGAATGGTCTCGATGGCGGTATCAGTTTGTTTACTAGATACTCCCCAAGAGGCAAGGGAGAATGCCTGACGGAAGCGGACACCACGCTGTTGTAAGGTGTTTGTGTAGATTCGGTATTTTGGGTTCATTCGATCCGTGATGTCACGGAGTTGAATACGTCTGTCCAGACGCATCCAAGCTTCCACACGAAATTCTTCGACATTGCTTGAAACACGATCGGGTAGGAGGTCGAAGGCTCTGATAGGTGGATTCTCAGGCCAGGGCGATGGTTTAAGAGGAACATTGATGTTCCCTCTTGGCCTATCAGGGCCCCTGAAAACGTAGAGTATATCAGGAAGATTGTGGAAGCTCCAGGAGCTTTGAGATGGGACGACATCAGTGTAATTCTCGGGGTCATCAGTGCCAGCTCTGCACGGCTGTCTGGGCTGCTTTGCTTCCCCAACATTGGCAGTGACCGGAACTTGCTGGCCGACTGGATTGGGTGCTGCCACAGGGGCGATAGGAGTAGTATTGGCAGCAATTGGATCGTGGGTGACTGGGTAAGAATTGACCGGGGGAGCCGATGTTGCTGAAACAGCTGGAACGTTCACGAATGCAGCAGTGCCTTGATTGCCGGCTGTAGTGATGCCATTAGTAACAGTCCAAGAGATAAGAATATATGTTTTCTTATGCAATGCAAGAAAAGAATGCTTACTATTTCCTTGATCCTGAGCACCAATTGTATCCAAATTGAAGGACAAAGCATCAACCGCATTACCATTGGCAGAACCAAAGGCATTAGCAGCCAATAGGCCACCGACTGCCATGTCCATGGACATTTCAAATCCGTTCATAGGAGATCCCTGAAAGTAGGCCATTTTATCTCGGTAAAGATTTCTTGGGCTTTCTAGGATTTTGTTCGAACAGAATAGCCGAAGGCTCTCGGAGGTCAATTCAAAGTAGAAAAGGGGTAAATTGAAACTGGCTTCGAGAAGCTGGAGCCTTTGCGTAAGGGAATTGGAATTAATCGAAGGAGGCAGTAAAACAGGTAGAAACAGAGTAGAGGTCTCTTTGAGTCTGAGGTCAAGGACTTTGGAATTGCCAATTTGACGGAGACGAATGCTTGAAGCGAATTGGTATCTGGAGCTCAACGAACTTGTAGAGTAGCTATCTTGACGAAAAGAGTAATGGTCAAGAAGAAGAGAAGGAAGAAGGAGAAGAAGGAGAAGGAGAAATGAGTACAGAAAAGGGGGTTCCATCCTGACAGAACCTGACAGAATAGGGGGGGCTGGGATGTCTACGGGGCGCAAAAGAGGGGGTGCGCTGGAAAAGTTTTTCATGAAAGAAAGTAAGACGAATAGACCGGTCCTATATCGTCCGATTGTGAGTCTGTCAGAGACTCCTTTTTTGCTCTCTGACAGCCTACGAACAATAGGAATTGAGCTGACATCTATATAGCTATCTATATAGAAGATATCAAGATGGACCCACTGGTCTGTAGCGCACAGGACAAGAGTTTTGTATTCCCCGGAAGTATGCATGATTAGCTTACTAAACAACTGTTTCGACGTTCGCGCACGAAATATCTTCAGTTACCAGCCACCTTTGGCCCAACCACAAAAGCGGAAGCGGAGACGCAAAAGAGGGGTAGAAGCTGCTAGACATGAGCTTTCTCCGCTGAGATGTAATGCCCCGCCGATATAGGAGTGCTTTCGGCGCAGATCGTATTGTCCACGGAGATTGTGACGAGTTTGAGCTCTATGGGGCATAAAAGGGGCTTATAGATCTGATATCAAGTCTGCTCTGGCATGTAGGGAGGGGAAACATAAAGCTATAGGTATCCAATGGCCTAGTATTTCATATATAGCTTTCGATAATTGTTTCGCAGCCTCTTGAACAGCTTGAATATTCATGCTGCTCAACGTAGTTCATTTTGTTGATATCCTCCCCTTTTTGGCAACCGGCGTTTATGGTATCACGTGATACTATGTATTACATAATATCTAGTTAAGCGCAAGTGCAAACGAAACAAACAGGACAGCCCGCAAAAACAACAGCAAAACATCAGCAAAACCGCAGAGGACTCAGGCCAGAAAGAAGGGTATCTAGATGGAGCAAAAAAAGGCCAAAAAAACATACGACAGTCGGGATTCGCTGGTGGTCACCCACCCAACTACTAACCGACCGGCAAGTGGCTTAAGTACAGCTGAGCGGACGGGAAGCTCTGTTTTCCACTTCCTGTGGTCGTATGTGCTTGGTTGTCGGAAGATTCGCAGTTTTCTGGCGGTTTTCTTGGTATTTTTTACGCCAAGAATTGTCGCTTATATAATCATAGAACTTTAAATAATTGAAAGCTTTCGATAATGGCCAAGCTTGTTGGGTGTTGCACATCCATAAACAACCACCTATCGGACCAAGACAAGCAATATCATAGTCTATAAGCTCAGTTAATCATGAGCAGTAATAAACGAAAACGCAAATCCGGCTCTGCGGAGACTCTGGTAACGCTTACTTCGCGGAAGCCTCAATGGGCGTATCTCCACCTTGAATTGTACAGTGACACCCGTGACAGACATGTCAATAAATCAATGCGCAGCAGGACATGAAAAAACAATGGAACATAATGTGGAGCTAATTTATATTGATACCATTAGAGTCTCTGCTTCCGATTCAATTGCTAAGGCGTCATCTACATCAATGGCACCAGACCCCCTCACAGCCAAAACCTATCTGACCGCGGCCCTCTCTCAGTATCTTGGATTATCCGGTACCGCTATACCCGTTGATATTTTGAAGCTAGGTAGCAGACTGGGCCAACCGGATGGCAAATCTGTCTGGATTCGGGTCCCGTACGAAGATGCTGCTGCAGTCACTGCGGCGATGAGTTCTTGGATTGGTGCTGATTCCGGATCTGGATCATCAAACGTAGCATGGAGAGTTGTCTCGAGGCGTTCTCATCTCGGTGCGCTTATTGGAGGTAGTGGGAAGGAGCTCTTCATTCCCTGAGATCTGATATTGAGGCTTCTGATGAAGCAAGGGAAGTATAATCTGACAAGGACGGTTGACAAACA